ACACCGGGTCCTTACCGTGAACAATTGCAGGAAAACTGAATTTCAAAAATTAGTGTTAGGACTAGGCATGATACCAGGAGAAAGGCTGCATCTCCTGAAATTCTCTCTTTGACCCAATGATTAACATTTCAGGGGTTTTGTCTCTTGGTTACAATTACATCATCCTACTCAGTAGGACACAGAGAGCAGGCAAATGGAATGAGATCAAGAGGCAGTGCATAAGTCCATCATGGGAAATCCATGGCAACAGGAAGGCAGTGTACAAAGAAAGATTGGATAATCAGAGTCTTATTAATGGGGAGGAAAACTGCATTTAAACAAAGAGGGGGGAAGCAAGAATAAAAACAAGTAGCAAAGAAATTCAGCCTATAAGGAGAAAGATACTATTTGCATATGCATATATTCTGTGTCAGTTTAAAATACAGTCTAACATTTAAACTGCAATAATTTCTCTTGTATTGCTTTGGAAACTGGAAAACCTTTGGCTCCTCTTCAAGAAAAGGCTCCTGTTTTAAAACTAGAGATAAGTATATAGAAACCATTGTACTAGTTGGCTGTTCAGAGTACCCTCCATTGTCCAAAAAGAAGAAGAAGAAAAACTGCATGAGATAGTTGTTTTATTCTTATGATTGAAAAAAGCCTGGGTAGTTTTGGTGGGAAATCAGTTCTGTAGCACCATCCTGTGGCAAGAGGTGGGAAATAACAAGTATGATAAGCACTTTTCCTGAAAGCAAGAGAGGGTGATACCTTTTATTGGACTACTAAAAAATTGAAGAGCAAGATTTTGTGGATGAAATCCACTTCCTCAGCCTAAGCACATCTCTTTCAAATTTAAGGCCTCCTAACAAGGTGGAGAGGTGTGGTATAACGATTTTTAACAGCAGTTTTTTTTTAAAAAAAATCAACAGCACCATAAGTTTCTTTTCCAAAACAGGCACAAATATTAATATGACTAATGTATGTATTTATAATGTCTTAAATGTTTACTCCAGCTTTCCACTAAAAGTAGTGCTAGGGATGACTAACCAATGGAATGGAGAATCAAAATATGCAGCAAGGAGTCTGAATCATTTTGGGGACAATGGACAAATCAATAGATGGGTCCAGATGGGTCCCCCCATCTTCTTTTGTGTATGAGAGACATGCAACTGCTATTTCCTGCTTTTCCCTTCTCCTTCACTGTCTAGGCTCTCTTCTGTTTTCTTGCTTTTTCATGTTTGCTTAGACAAACAGACCTATAGAGATGGAAGCCAGATGCCCATTTGGACCATCCCCCTGGACCAGATTGTCAATTTTCGTTTGAAAGCCAAAG